AAATAAGCACATGATTCTTCCCAAGGCTTTCACCATTTGTCACTTGGAAGCAAGACACAGGCTATGGGCAAGTGCTTAAGAAGCTACTCCAAACGTCTCCAGACTTCTTATCTCTAGTAACTGTCCAACAGGGAGAGCTAGTATCTTCTGTAGCTAGGGGAAATCCGGTCTGTGCTTCAAAAGCAGAACAAATTGACTTTTTGTCTAGTCCCCAATTCCAAGATAAAACAGAAGCTCAGATAAACAGGAAGAGATGGGTTTGCTATTGAAACAAATACATATTTCCACAAAAAAACAAAAAAACCCCACCCCCCCAGTGGATATGTTGAGGGTCAGGTAAGGTAACTGATTCAAGGCTGTAAGGCTGGTAATGCAGAAAAATGGGGTAATACAATTACAATTTTACAACAAAGGTTGTTTCTCAATCCCGCCTAGAGCTGGAGTGAGGACTGAGATGCTCTTTATTGTGGAGTTCAGTTCTAAATCAAATCCATTCTGAAATATTTTGGTTGGATCAGCGCTGAGTTTGGTTCATATAGGTCGTCCTGGATTTGCAACCACACTTGAGCCCAAATTTTCTGTTAAGTAAGTGAGACAGTTGTTAAGTGAACTTTGCTCCATTTTACGACCTTTCTTGCCACGGCTGTTAATCTGTCTTTACTTATCAGAAGGTCACAAAAGGTGATCACATGACGCCAGGACACAGCAACCATCATAAAAACAAGCCAAGCATCCAAATTTTTCCCCCAATTATTTTTTTATTTTTTTTGACAACAAACATAAACAAACTTAAACACAAAACAACAAATAAAACCTTCTTTCAGTTGTACAGTGTATCGGTTGGTACATATTTCTTGTGCACAATATCCATAGTCTTTCACTCTTAAGTTTAAATTTATATTCATATTATGTTAATCAACTTTCCATATCCTGTTATATTATTATTACATCATCATTAGACTTTAATTGCAAATTCATATTATCATTTTCAAGCAAATCTTATTTTTTACAGATTCTAATTCATATTATGGTGCTTTCCATAGTAAACGATTATAGCATATCATTATCACTGTATTATATTCACTGTTATATTTATACTACAATATACGGGTGAAACTCAAACAATTAGAATATCGTGCAAAAGTTCATTTATTTCAGTAATGCAGCTTAAAAGGTGAAACTAATATATGAGATAGACTCATTACATGCAAAGCAAGATAGTTCAAGCTGTAATTTGTCATAATTGAGATGATTATGGCTTACAGCACATGAAAACCCCAAATCCACAATCTCAGAAAATTAGAAGATTACATGCAATTTATAAAACAAGGATTGCACATGGAACAATATTGGACCTCTGACAAGTATAAGCATACATATATACTCAGTACTTGGTTTGGGCCCCTTTTGCAGCAATTACTGCCTCAATGTGGCGTGGCATGGAAGCTATCAGCCTGCGGCACTGCTGAGGTGTTATGGAAGACCAGGATGCTTCAATAGCGGCCTTCAGCTCTTCTGCATTGTTCGGTCTCATGTCTCTCATCTTTCTCTTGGCAATGCCCCATAAATTCTCTATGGGGTTCAGGTCAGGCGAGTTTGCTGGCCAATCAAGCACAGTCATCCCACAGTCATTGAACCAGGTTTTGGTGCTTTTGGCAGTGTGGGCAGGTGCCAAGTCCTGCTGGAAAATGAAGTCAGCATCCCCATGAAGCTCGTCTGCAGAAGGCAGCATGAAGTGCTCCAAAATCTCCTGGTAGACGACTGCGTTGATCCTGGACTTAATGAAACAGTGGACCAACACCAGCAGATGACATGGCTCCCCAAATCAACACAGACTGGAAACTTCACATTGGACTTCAAGCATCTTGCAGTGTGTGCCTCTCCATTCTTCCTCCAGACTCTGGGTCCTTGGTTTCCAAATGAGATGCAAAAGTTGCTCTCATTAGAAAAGAGGACTTTGGACCACTGAGCAACAGACCACTTCTGTTTTTCTTTAGCCCAGGTAAGAAACTTTTGACGTTGTTTGTTGTTCAGGAGCGGCTTGACAAGAGGAATACGACATTTGAAGCCCATGTCCAGGATCCGTCTGTGTGTGGTGGCTCTTCATGCACTGACTCCAGCCTCAGTCCACTCCTTGTGAAAGTCCCCAACACTTTTGAATGGCCTTTTCCTGACAATCCTCTCCAGGCTGCGGCCATGCCTGCTGCTTGTGCACCTTTTTCTTCCACACTTTTCCCTTCCACATAACTTTCTATTAATGTGCTTTGATACAGCACGTTAGGAACATCCAACTTCTTTTGCAATTACCTTTTGAGGCTTTCCCTCCTTATGGAGGGCGTCAGTGATGGTTTTCTGCACAACTGTCAGGTCAGCAGTCTTTCCCATGATTGTGATTCCTACTGAACCAGACTGAGAGACCATTTAAAGGCTCAGGAACCCTTTGCAGGTGTTATGGCTTAATTAGCTGATTAGAGTGGGACACTTTGAGCCTAGAATATTGAACTTTTTCACGATATTCTAATTTTTTGAGATTGTGAATTTGGGGGTTTCATGAGCTGTAAGCCATAATCATCTCAATTACGACAAATCACGGCTTGAACTATCTTGCTTTGCATGTAATGAGTCTATCTCATATACTAGGTTCACATTTTAAGCTGCATTCCTGAAATAAATGAACTTTTGCACGATATTCAACCTTGGCAACTTTAAGCCTGGAGGATTCAACTCCCAGAATTCCTCCTAGTGTGTTTATTCTAGGCCAGAGGTCTTCAAACTTGACAGCTTTAAGACTTGTGGACTTCAACTCCCAGAATTCTTCCTCCAGTCACGTTAGCTCAGGAATTCTGGGAGTTGAAGTCCACAAGTCTTGAACTTGTTTGAAGACCCTTGTTCTAGGCAGTTCTTCTGCTCTTATCCAATGAGTGCTTGGATTTGACAGAACAGCAAACTTGATGTAGGAGAGTTAAGAGTGAAAACTCTAAATAATTATTGTATTTTTTATAACCTACTAACAACTCCATGTAGGTTCTTTCTCTCCTCCCTCAATTGGGAATTAGTGTGCCCTTTGCTTCTTCTAGCATGCTGGTTCAACTTCCCAATCTACCCTATGGACCCGTGATTTCTTAGCGGCCTTCATTCCAAGCACTAAGTAGATCTGGCGCTCACTTAACTTCTTAGGGGTTGGTGGCAGCAAACTGTGAAAAGCAGAGAAGCCAGATCTTAGATGGTTGGAGCAAAGATAATAGAAAGATTTGCTGGAGAATTCTTAGAGCAATGACTTTCAAACCATTTAAGATGTGTGGACCAACACCCAGAATTCTGCATGCTGGCTGGGGAATTCTGGGAGTTGAAGTCCAACTTGGAGTAGGCAAGTTTAAGAAACGCTATTTAGAGTGGCAGTAGCAGGAGTTTTTTAAAAAAAACATTCCACCAAATCTTTGGGTGGCTACCGAGATGCTGCTTAGAAGTCCAGCTTTCCACAACGTGGAAGGAACCATCACAAGGAGCATTGTATCAATAGAGATCTCATTAGAAGAACCATCACTAGGAGCATTGATGTGCTACAAGATTTGGTTGAGCTTCACGCGTCTCCCAGGAGTTCACCTCAGATCCCACCGCTTCACCTCTGCACCCCCCCTTTGCCCACTTCCTCGTCCTGAAGACGGGACGTCGTTGTGCGTACCCCCGTTTCCAGCACAAGGACGACGTCTTTCACAACTCTTCTACTCTGCTTCTGTTCCTTGGCCCCAGTGTTCCCTTCTTCCTCATCAGCCACCCACCCTAATCGTTCCCACCCTTTGTCCACTGTTGACAACCGTGCCCTGGGTAACAGGAAATCTTTCCCGTCCCAGGCATTGTGTGGGCCAGGAAGTCTTCGACAATGGAGAACAGAACTGGCAGGATGTGTCTTGTGTTCTTTAGGGGAGGGCAGGGATGGGGTGTCACAGAGTCCTGGATTGTGTCTGAAGGAACTGGGGTGCTTCCCCGGGGTGCTCCCTCTAATAGCAGTCATCCGCAGCCCTGGCTTCAGTTTGATCCCACCTCTTTTTGGACACCCAGATTCTGGCTCCCACGTCCCCTCCTAGTGTTAGATGGAGTGATGAAGGTGTGGAAGAGAAAGCTAAAGGAGGATGAAACCATTGCTGCTTCTCATGTTGATTCCATTTGCTGGAGGTAAGTTAAAAAGAAGAACCTAAGTAGAATAGGCTAGATTTTTACATGAAGGCTTTGCATAGCGTCCCTTAATACATTATTTCTTTTTTGCGGGGGGTCTGTCCAATACCGAAAAGCCTAAACTCATCTTAGGGACTGATTTCCTGCCACCAGAAAAACTAACCATCCTGTTTGCATCCCAGTTTCTAGTTTATCTAATTTTTTGTTAATTTTTAAGGCTTTAATATTTCAGTGTTTTTAACGTTTCATTGTTTTTATATTCTTGTTTTTATGATGTGGTGGGCCACCTAGACTAGCTCGAAAGTGAGATGGGTGACATATTAATTACTTAATGAAACAACCAAGAGTAGTGTATTGCAAAAATACAACCACTAAGTCTTGATCTGGTCGGGTTTATTTGTTTGCCTGTTTATCAATTTTATATAGCCAGCCATTTCATAAAATGCGACTCTGGGTGGCATACAACAATCAAATAATGACATCATTAAAAAAAAGTAGGTTTCTACAAACAGCTTGCTGCGTCTATCTATTGTTAACTGTTTTGTGGTACCTTGCAGACTAGTACAGTTGTTATTGTGTAAATGTCATGGTTGGCAGTCCACCTCTCTGTACGTTCACATACTCTTCTCCAATTGTACCTCTGCTTGTTTGGTTTTTTAAAAAAGTTTTCAGCAGAATATGAAGCAGAGCAACCTGAAAAAAGGATGTTAGGGTGTTGTTTTCTTCATTCCTTCTGAAATATTCTCCTTAACAAGATTTGCCCACAGCAGCGAAATCGGATTGCTTCTTTGCAAAGCTAAAACCCTTCTGTTCTCTTGGATTATTAATTACAGTATTTTAGAATTTAAAATGCTGATATTGTTGTGATGGTTGGATGCAGGGTTAGCCAGAGGTTTAGACGGAGTTTGGCAGTTTTATCCACCCCACCTGGGAGAGGCAGGTGCTGAGTTTTGCTGGTGTTAAAGATATTTTTCAGCTGTTCTGAGTAAAGCTGCCTTTTGCAATTGACTGGTGATGGTTTTGTCACTGCTGAGGGGGTTCAAATGGTGCTCCAGTTGTTTTGGGATCGCCCCCCAAGATGCCTGTTACTATTGGTACAGACTTTGCTTTCTTTTTTCCACAGTTAGTCTATTTCTATTTGCAGGTCTTGGTATTTTGTTACCTTCTTGATATTGTTGTTTTTTATAATATTATATGATTATGGTTCATTGTGCAATCAAGCAGATGGGGGACACTGTGACAGTCATAAGTGTGAAGACTGGTTGGTCATAAGTCACTTTTTTCAGAGTTGTAACTTTGAACAGGTCACTCAACAAATGGTTGCAAATTGAGGACTATGGAATTCTTTATTGGCTAAGTGTGATTGGACACACAAGGAATTTGTTTTGGTGCAAATGCTCTCGGTGTACATAAAAGGAAAGATATATTTGTCAAGAGTCAAAAATCATAAGGTACAACACTTAATAATAGTCATAGGGTACAATAAGCAATCAAATCATACTAAGAAACAGTCAATATAAATCGTAAGGATACAAGCGACAAAGTTACAGTCATCCAGTCACAAATTGGGGGGGATGGGTGATAAGGAGTGATGAGAAGATTAATAATGATAGTAGTGCAGACTTTGTAAACAGTTGGACAGTGTTGAGGGAATTATTTGTTTAGCAGAGTGATGGAATTCGGGGGAAAAATGTCCTTGTGTCTAGTTGTTCTGGTGTGCAGTGCTCTTTAGCGTCATTTTGAGGGTAGGAGTTGAAACAGTTTATGTCCAGGATGTGAGGGGTCTGTAGATATTTTCACAGCCCTCTTTTTGACTCCTGCAGTATACGGGTCCTCAATGGAAGGTAGGTTGGTAGTAATTGTTTTTTCTGCAGTCCTAATTATCCTCTGATGTCTGTGTCTGTCCTGTTGGGTTGCAGAATCAAACTCGACAGTTATAGAGGTGCAGATGACACACTCAATTCCTCTGTAGAACTAAATCAGACGATCTGTAGATGAAACTCATTCAGAATGCACATAGAAAAACAGTTATGACAAATTGTCTATTTACAGGGGAAAGCATTCCTCTAGCACTAAAAAAAAAACTCACTAAAAGTACTAAAACTGGATCAAGTATGGGTTAGGAATAAAGTCAAGGAAATACATTAAATTTATCGGCCAACCAGAATCACCTTGTGATTGAGATGGATGGCAAATAAATTTAATAAATAAATAAGTATCAGAAGGGCACAGCAGAAAAAGACCCCAAACTGTCAGGAAATGTTTGAGCCGAAGTTACGGGCAAATGAAAGAGACCCTTATCCTGTCTCCATTTACTGTGTTTCCCTGAAAATACGGCCTACCCTGAAGGTAAATCCTAGCTTGACTTTGCAGCCAATATAAGCCCTACCCCCCCAAAATAAGCCCTAATTAAGACCCGTCCACTCCAAGGCGCACGGGTAAAAATTAAGCTAGGGTGGGGATGGGTGTGTATGAAGCTGCCCTACTACTTACCTTTGGACAGTTGCAGCCAGGCCTTGCACATCCTGACACCTGCCTTGCTGGCCCATTTCTTTGGCAGCTGGCAAGGCTTTCCTGAGGGCTTCTGCAACCAGTAACAGAGCTCCGGATCGTTCCGGAGCTCTATTATCGGCTGCAGAGACATTCAGAAATGCCTTGCTGGCCGCAGAAGAAGTTCCAGAAGGCCTCTGACAGCGAAAAGGAAGCATGTGCGAGTGAGGTGAGTCAGTGGATGATACTCCCCCTAAAATAAGACCTGGTGCCTTTTTTGGTGGCAAAAAAATACATAAGATCCAGTCTTATTTTCAGGGCACATGGGTATTAGACTCACCTAGGTTGATGGTTTTTGCAAAAATTTAAATTTGAAGTTAAAAATAACAAATGTCACCAGCCCTTAAAAAAAATGGTCAGAACAACAAATTCATCATTTGCAAAGGAACTGGCAAATGGTGCATGTTTAGGCACAAGGAAGTTTCAGTTCAATTTAATTGTATGTGTTACTTGGCAGAAGACAAGAGATATAACTTGATTCCTTGTGGACACAAATGTCGGTTCTAATGTTTAATTATAAGCTCCCTTTTTATTTCCCACAAAAGGCTACAAATGGAGGCCGGCGGACTGCAAGGATCTCCGAAGCAGGCAAAAATGAATAAATTAACAATTCCTTTCTTCCCCTGGACAGCCAAACTCTGGAGAGAGAAAAAAAAACATTGTGGCTAAGTTTGCACCTTCCTCTCAGACGTTGTAGTTTGACATTTGGCAAAACAACATCTCCAATTTGTTCGATGATGCGGTTTACTTTGAACTCTGAATTTAAGTCCTCCGGACACACATTTCTATCTGCAAATATTAAGGCGCCGGCCTTTTTCTGAACCTCTTTGTGTTTTCCGTTTCCCCAGCTGAATCTTGTCCTCAGATGCCCTGCAAGAATGGCGGGACTTGTTTGAAACACTCCAATGGGACGTCTTCCTGCCTGTAAGTTTTATTTATTTTATTTTTTAAAGTATCAGGATTCCCCATAATGGTTAAAATGGAAGGGCAAGCAGAGCCTCAACAGGTCAGAGATTTCTCCCCTGGCTTGATTCGGTGGACAGGAAATGCTGCTGCTGCTGCTGCTATTTCTGTCCGTCATAAGAAGGCAGAAGGGTGGGGCTGAGCTAGGAATTCAATTCATGCGGTTCCTGGCAAAACTCGTGCAGGGGAAATAATGTTCAGCCTATTATACAGCCATGATCATGGAGAGGCCAGCTGTGGTGGGATGCTGTCAGTTTAACAGCTGGTTTGGTGAGCCCGCACAGCACTGAAAACGGAGCATTTAGAAGCTCAGCTGCTTACCTTCCAAGTCAGCAAAGGTAAGGAGAACAGCAAGGGTGTGTGTGTGGAAATCAGCTGTGTCGCATGATTGAGAAGCAGGAAATAAAGCATAGGACAGGGCAGGGGTGATTGGTTGGGGACAGCTGATCATCGGAACTACCAGTTTGCCCGAATCGGTCCAAACCAGCAGCATCCCATCTCTGGATACCTGTCAACTCATAAAATATTCCTGTGGCCTTTTGGAGAAAGGGAGCGGGGAAGCAGTGGGCAGCTTGCATTCCATACATGTTTTCAAAGATAGTTTCTAGGTGACTGAAGTTTCTGCCGTGCAAAATTCTAACTGGAGAGTATGATGGATGATTCTTGGCTATGGATGTGTCCCATTGGAGAATATGAATTATGATACACCCAGGAGGTGGGGGAAAGCCAGGGTCAAGGGTGACCATGAATGATGTGTCTCAGGGTTGGCTACGCTCAGGCAGTGCTGTGTCTTCTAACTCCCAATAAATCTTTTTGGAGTTTGGCTAGAGACTCATGATTTAAATGGGGTTTAAGTGTCGGAATCCTGACAGTACCATATATACTTGTGTATAAGCCCACCCATGTATAAGTTGATTTTTTTTTTAAACCAACATACATAGATAGTCCTTGACTTACGATCACAATTGAGCCCAAAATTCCTATTGCTAAGCGAGATGGTTGTTAAGTGAACTTTGCCCCATTTTACGACCTTTCTTGCCACAGCTGTTAAGTGAATCACTGCAGTTGTTCAGTGAGTCACACTAACTTAAGTGAATCTGGTTTCCCCATCGACTTTGCTTGTCAGAAGTTTTGCAAAAGGGGATTCCATGACCCTGGGACACTGCAACTGTCATAAAGATGAACCAGCTCCCAAGCATCCAAATTTTGATCACATGACCATGGGGGAGGCTGCAATGGTCCTAAGTGTGAAAAATGATCATAAACCACTCTTTTCAGTGGCTGCTGTAACTTTGAACCATCACAAAATGAACTGTTGTAAGCCAAGGACAACCGGTATGTTCCAGATCAGATACATGTAAATGCATTTACTTCCATTGTTTCTTCTCAGCTTGTGACCTTCTACCGTTGCACCATGGAGAGTATTTTAACTTACTGCCCCTGTGTATGGTTTGCCAATTGCCCAGTGGCAGATAGGAAAGCACTCCAAAGGGTTAACATCATTGCCCAGAGGATCATGGGTTGCCCTCTCCCCTCTTTGGAAGAGCTTCATAGCTCCAGCTGCCTTAAGAAAGTTCAAAGCATTCTCAAAGATCCATCTCATCCTGGGCACCCTCTTTTTTTTTTTTT